CTGGCTTTAAGGCAGAAACAGGGAAGCAAGGGGTAGAACAGAGGAAAGACGTTTGCACCATGGTGCCCAGGGAGGGAGGGAGGGAGAAGGGAGGAGGTTTACACCTCAGGTGGTCAGGGACCACCTTAACCGCACATCCACTGTCAGTGGTAAACAGAGCACCCTCATGGTCTAATCAACTTCCAAACACATGAGGCTTTTGGGGACACCTCAGATCTCAACTGTTAACGATACTGGTATACTCTGGGCTGGATAAATCTGTGTTGAAGGGTTTTGTCTTGTCTATTGTAATCTGTTTGACAGCAACCCTAGAGTATACCCACCAGATTCCAGTAGCATACAGTAGCACTACATCCTCCTTTATGAAAATTAAAAGTGGCTCCAGAATTGACTATGTGGACTCCAAGGGATAGATTTCAGCTTAGAACTGCTGGGTTAGGCAGATATAGTTTATCCAGTGCATGATAAGCCTTATAATTTTCACATACTTTCTTTTTCAGGGGCAGAAGCATACTGGTTATTAAAGGGCCCAATGTATATAAAAGTGATTAAGTGAGGAAGGGAAAATCCCAAACTTGTTACCAAAGCATTCATAACATTACTTTGAAATTCTGAAATAGACTTAAAGGATATTAACTATTTTGTACTTACTAAATTTTTAAAGTAGAAAAATTGAGGTAGAGAATAAGATATTACTCAGAAAACTTCTGCTTTCTTTACAAAATACACTACATCAAGAAATACGGATTTTAGCATTTGAAATTTATTATTATGAGAAATAGTATGATATTAAGAATGTTAATAGTTTTCATTTACTGAGACCTTGGTATGTCTTAGATAATGTGCTAAGTATTTAACAGACAAGGTTTTTCAAGATTCACAACCCCATTTGGTAGTGGAAAAAAAAATGAACCTTCTCTATTTTACAGGTGAAAAACTGATTCACAAAAGACAAGGGACTTGCTCAGAGAACTAATGTAGTGTGAGTCTTCTGAATTTCCAAATATATACATTTATATTTACATAAATTTGGCTTAATGCATTTGGGTAAGTTTTTATTGAGAATACTTCATATACTAAATGACGAACCCGTTACAATATTTCACAATTGACATATGACTTCAAACTGATTTTAGAATTAACACCTGTAGGGGAGGGAGGTGATAATCTACAGTCTTAAGACTGGACTGTTGCCCCTTGGAGAACTAATTAAAAGGCATTTCATCATCAATTAAAAATTTATAAAGTAACAGAGTAATGTAAAGTAATGGGAAATTTTATAGTAATTCCATCACGCTAAAGCTTGAGCACTGTGACCATATTTATGCAGCTTAGCTCAGCTTACTCATGTGTGTATTTATTAGAGAAAACTCTTGACTGTTTTTGGTGACAAGATACAAGTGTATGGAAAACAAATCCATGCAAACGTCAGAAAACCTAATTTAAAGGAAGAATTGCAAACTTAATCTCTAAAAAGCAAGATATGCCAACAAGGGCCCAAACCAGTTGACTTTCTTGAAATTATCTGCTAAAGACACTAGTGTGAATTTAAATGGTTTAAAGGCACAGTAAGAAGTCAAAGCAAAAATATGTTGGGTAATTAGTACCTAAAATAAATGCCTCCCCATACTTACTTCCTGGTAACTATAATTTCAGCTCCCTCCTAGGAAAAGAAAAGCCTAAAATAGTTCATTTTGTGATTTGTGGTTATTTATGTTGTTTAAATTCTGTATTATATTTATGATATGGTTGATGGACCATCCCAAACAGGTTCTTTAGTAAATTACAAAAAAATTTTTTTTTCAGTTATAGATTTCCTATTAGCCTCTTCTGATCCTGTGGAATTCCCTGCCAAGGACCAGGGAAGCCAAGTAAACCAGCAGATCCTCCTGCTAACGGCAGAAAAACAGGACTATTCTTACTAAGTCCAGTGGGGCTGGCGTCAATAATAGCTATCTCATTTTTTCAGCATAAAACAAGAAATGGAATTGTTTCTTTCCAAGCTAGTCATAGCAAAGGACAGTGTGCTTTGAAAACAGCTCAGCAGATGTTTTGAATATCTTTGTGTCTACATGTGTGTGTGATACGTGCACACATACACTAAAGCACCAATCCTAACTGTCTAAACTTGAAGGGTGGTAGCTATGAACCATCCTCTATCCAGAGTTTTTTCCTGCATTGACTCAGGCTAGGTGAGGAGATGCTAGTTGGGTAGAAAAGGGAGAATCAATATCAGCTGGCCACTTCTAGCTGTGTAATATCCTGCCCGTTCACCTGCTTTCCTATCTATATATGTAGGAATTGCTAATAATCCATTGCCATGCTTTATGTAAGGATGAGAAATAACACATGAAACTTGATATGGGGCTTAATAAAGAGCGGTATTTGTTAATGAAGATTATCTTAATTTTGTTGGTTTGGTTTAATCAGCAGTCCTAGGATATTTAGGTAAGGTTTTAGAACACTAGAGGTGAACCTATGGCCTAAGTGCCACAGTGGGCTGTTTTTATCACTGAAAGCTCTAAAAGGTTTGCCATCACTATTATAGGATATTAGCATCAACTTTCATCCTCTATTTAACCATTTCTTTGTTGAGTTATAAATGAAACACTGCTCCATTTAAACTTGTAGCCTGCTGGTTTGAAAACTTAAATCTATGTCTATGTCATAAAATGGGCATTTCTTCCATCAGAAATGAAGTTAAAAACTATGCACTTTCTAATAGGCCAGGACAGCACTAGTATTTTATGATGAAGAAATCTCTCATCTCTATTTTCTGTGTACCGCTTGGTTGTTAGGTACAAGGCTTTGTCTATTATCCCATTTTACTTATGCTCTGACATTACATTATAATTACAATTTTACAAAAGCTGAGCTAGAACATCAAGTACTAGCATCATGAATTCTTTTTAAAAATTAAAAGTGTATCTTCTTTATGAGATTTAAAATAGTTAACAAATTTATCAGCAAGGCTGCTGGCTACAAACGAGGCATGAATGATGCATCCTGACAGAGTCATTCTCTGTACCAGGGGCTTTCAGACAGCTACCAGGAAACCTGCAGTTTACTGACAGGCTACTACTACAGACCACCTGAAGCATCTGCACACAAAAGACATAAAAATATGATGACTGTATATTCAACCCTCTCAATATACAGACAGAAATGGCAAAGTACAGCATCTACCTGCCATGACCAGTGCGTAGTTACAGAAACCATTTCAATTAAGCTACCAAGTATTTCCCATTTGGGACAATGCTCAAAATGTGATGAAATTGAGGCCTCAACACTATGCTATTCTCATGGTTTTATTCTTCATAGGACTCAGCAGTTCACAGCCCCAGACTCAGCTCTGTAATACCTGGGGATGACCTTTGCTTCAGGATCCATGTGAAAGATTCGGGTCTGGAGTGTGCATTCCCCTGAATTCAGCCACCCCGTTATTAGTAGCAGCTCACAGTCCTGCGGAAAGACTTGATAAGGTGCAGAGGCCTGAGTGTGTGTGTTACCATGGCTACTTCCCTCCCTTCACAAGTGTGACATCACATCCTTCTGGTTTTGAGTTGTGGATGAAGGAGCTGTAGGAATGAAACCAGTGTGGGCTAAGAAGTGGTGTTCTCTTACCTCTCCACTGTCAGGAGTGAAGTCTTCAGCCACTTAATTAGCAGCAGAATGGGGAGTAAATTCCAGTACAGGGGATTTGAATTAAGGTGTCCATAAAGTCCCTTCTAATTTATGGTCACAATAGTGTTACTTGGTGGGGAATGACTTCGTTTCTCCTAGGTTAAATACCCATATGATTTATAGCTTATAATGTTATGACTTAAGAGGGGAAGCTTTATTGTTCTGCATAGCCTTGGGGGCTAAGCTAGAGAACCATCAGTGACAGCTCTCCAGAGAACACCTACATCCCAGGCAGAAGACTTCCAGCAGCCACCACCATAGGGAACACTGTGAACCAGAAGTATGTAATTGTGAGAAAAATCCATTTACCGAAGTCCTAGGGAGTCATGGGGCATTAGCCTCTGTGTCTTTCAAAGCAATTAAGTTAAAAGGAGGGAAAGAGATTAGAAATGTAGGTTTTTCCTGAAGCAGAAACTCTTCTGGGGATTGTTGATTGGTTAAAGGGTTAAGGAACAGGGAGGGCAATGGGAAGGAAAGAACTCAGTAAGCGGCTACTTGAGAACAATGGTCTCTTTACTCCCCGCCCCCAGTGCCCTACTTGATCACACAGTAAAATGCTGGGAAAACAGATTAACTCCTTCGGCTAAGTCAGAACTTGGATGCACTTTTAGACAGTTACTTCTCATATTAAAACGAGAAGTGTACTGATCACCAATGTTCTGACACACACTCTGCCTGGAGTCTTTCCCTAAGGAAGCTCAGGGCTCAGGACTGTGATTCACACTTTTGCAGGAAACTCATTCATTACAAACCCTACTGCTTTCTCCTACTGCCCCTGTCATCTCTTACTCCTCCATCTGTTCTCCCTCTTGGCTGCAGTCTGGAAACTTCAGCTCTGTCTCTGGAGCACAGAATGATCCTAGCTGGGGGTTGAGAATCTGTGCAAAGACTTCTTTTAAAAAGGGTGGTGTTTAAATCTAAAGTGGGTGAATTAAACTGACATTTATGATAAACAACTGCTATACTGTTTATTTGAGTCATTTCCATGAGAGAAAACAAACTCTCTAATAAGCAGAACATATGCTTCTGGGAAAAACCATTTTACATTTGTCTCTGTAATATTCTGAACGTGTTATATTAGAAAACTCCAAGAGGCCTTTGAAAAGACTGTATGCCCTTTGTCTGCACAGTCAATGGCTAAAACAATGAATTAATTAGTACTTTGAATCCTTAATGATATATATTCTTTCTCTTGCCTTTGGGGGAAAAAGACAAAATTGAGATCTTTAAACGACTTTCATGAGAAGAAGAAACATTAAGGGTGCTGGTTCACAAGTCCCCCTTCATCTTACATTTGACACAACTTTGTAACCTACCTCCTCCTCTCTCCTTCTCATCCTCCTCTTCTTTCAGCAGTTTGCCAACAGAATTATACCACTTAAACTGTGGGTCAGGGATGCCATAAACACTGCAATTAATCAAGGCACTGTTCCCTTCCTTGACTATGATATGATCAGTTCTGGCAATGATTACAGGCACAGCGCCCAACACCACATCAGTGCCATTTAAAGTGCTGTTAGCCACACTCTTAGCATTTGCCAGAGTGGATGCTAGGATTAAAAAGGGCACAAAAGGTAGAAAGCACACAGTCAGATGGCTCTTCAACAGATCCATCTTCTTTGCTTGCTCTGTAAGGCAGCAGCTGGTTTGCCAATGGAATCTTCTATCCGACCACAAACCACTCAGAGCAGGCCATGGGACAAACCTGTCCTGGATCCATGGAGTTGGTGTTTGATTAAGACTCTGTTGAAAAACAAAAACCATCCATATGTAAGTATTAGCATTTATGCTTTAAAGATACTTTATAGCATTTTAGCAATCTGTTTACAATACCAACCCACACAAGTTCAGAAGGTCTTCCAATGTTAAATGACACTTTTGAAAAAAACATACCAGAACTTTGTTCATTTTTGCTACTAAATCATATAGCGCTTAGTAGGAACAAATATATTTCTCATTGTTAAACTGATGCCCCCTTACTGTATCGGGTTCAAAATTGATTTACTTCTTTTACTTAGCATTAAGTCTGTCTTCACTGTGGATAGCTTGAGTGCTCACTGGAACTGACCTTCACCTCTTTTCTTCTACAAAATGTGAATTCCAGTCTGTTTCATTGGTATTAGCTTGGGCTCGGCCAGAACTTGGAAGGACTTTTCCAGAATCAGTCTGGGATTCTTATAACTCCATGGTACCACTTCAAGGATATTTTTTTCTGCTACCTATGATCCTATGACCCCCACTGTGTCTGTCTTTATACACTATGGTATTATTTCTTGACTCCTGACCACTCACTGGTTTCCCTCATTTCCATCTTCATGTGCCTCCCAGAAGCTGGAGAGCATTGTCACGATGGTGAGGTGACATTTGAGTGGCTCAACTTCAGTGCCCAAGGATCTAACCTTAACCAATTTTTCCTCTCCTCTGTTTTATTAACTAACCCTATGGCTATACTCAGCTTCTAAATTCTAAATTCTGAAGTTCAGATAATTCTGAAGTTTTAAGTAAGCCACGTTAAATTTCAATCAACCATTCTTCAATATCTTACTTCCCTCACTGAGCTTTTTAACCCTTTTATATTTCCCAGACTTTCTATTTCCATCCCCACCTCCACCCTTTGATCTGCATGTTTTATATCTGTCTCAGTCTAGAGCCAATCACAAAAATTACAATCCCCAACATCCTCTCCCGTTGTCCCTGAGCCACATTTACTCTGCCAATAGATAACCTCCATCAAGCCAGTAATTTATTCCATACCCAGAGGGTGGTGCAGTATACTGGAGAGACTCATCTGATGACTCATTATTGCCAAAATGAAGGCTATCCTCCACCCCTCAGGGATTTCCGGCAAACTATTTACCAGTGCTCAATCAGTTCAGCGTCCTCTTTCTGTAAAGTTTACAGGCATCTTCAGCTTGCAGATCAACCATCTTAGCACAATGGTACTCCTACCTTCTCAAAACAAAACAAGAGAGACCACCTCTCTCCAGATAAGCCCTGAAGTATAAATTCTATCTGTTCATCTTCTCACTTTTTGGAAAGCATCCTGTATCTTATGTTCAATTCCTTACTACCATTTACTCCCCAAATTTCTACATTTCACCTGCTCCTTTCTGTAAAAGCTCTTGTTCAGAGCACCAATCATTTCCTGTTGCCTATTTTAGGGCCAGGGATAAAGTTCAGCAGCACAGCGCCTGCCTGGCAAGCACAAGGTCCGAGTTCTATTCCCAGAACCAAAGAAGAAAAAAACATTCCTATTTCCTGTTATCTATTTTTCTCTATCTCTTACCAAATGCTTATGGTGATTGATAGGATTAATGGTTCTTTCTCAAAACTCTCTTTCCCTAGTTTCTATACTCTTTCCTCCCTCTGCCCTTTTTTCCCACTCTTTAAAAATTAATTAAGTCCTATAGTTTGACTGTTGGTCCTCTTCTCTTTTTACACATAGCTCCTTCTAAGGTTTCCTCCTCCCATGCCTTCATTCCTACCTACAACCTAAGTAGTAACTCCCAAATCCATGTCCTCAGTTCTGACTCTTTCTTGAGTTTCAGAACCTGGATGTTGTGCAGACAACTTACATTTAACATTTCACAACCAAACTCTTTACTTGCAAAATACAACAGTTCTTGGATCCCTTATTTTAGCACAGAACACCACCATCTATGGAGGTAAGCGTGGGCATAGCCTTGATTCATATACTGGCCTACTCTCCCAGAACTTCAGTAGTACATGCTGTTGATTTTGCTTGTTAAATATTACTTAGATCTGTTTTATTTTTGTGATCTCATCTTACCAGAAATCGTGCAGCAGTCCTCTGCATGATCTGCCTGACTTCACTCTTTCTCTGAATCCTCATCCAATCCTTATAACCACTGGTACAGTAACAACTTCACGACTCAAACTATGGCACCATTCCTTTACTTAGCAACCTTTCATGTTTCCCCAATGTCTACATTGTGAAATCTGAATCCCTTACCTTTATGTTCGCTTAAAAAGTTTTACAAGAATAAACAAGAAAGATCTTTTATGTTAGGCAAAGCTTATGCTCTCATGAAGCAAAGCAGACAATGAAAAGTATACGTATAAGCAAGGATTTCAGCTATAGCTGCACCCCTGATAAACACACCATGATGGGCTAAGTGCTTAGTTAAGCAGCTGGGAAGAACTCAGCTGAGGTGGCCCCCGAGCCGGGTCAGCAAGGCCAAGACCTGGGAGAATATTCCAGGAATAATCTAGATGAGGAAACAAGAGAAGTGTTACAGAATTGGTCAGAGAAGCAGATATACCCGGATCATCTAGGGCTTTGCAGGCCAGACTAAGAAGAGTTTGTGTCATATCTAATATTCAAAGAGGGCCCAGGATGTAGCCCAGCAGCACAGTGCCTGCCTAGCAAGCATGAGATTGTGAGTTCAATTCCTGTCAGTACTTGAGAAGCTGAGGCAGGAGGATGTTTAGTTGGAGGCCAGCCTGGGCTACCTAACAAGTTTAAAGCCAGCCCAGCTTAGACAGTGAAACTGTCTTCTTCAAAAGGATTACACTGACAAGGACAACCAAAACACACACACACAAAGAATAAGTAATGTTCATTGGTAAATTTTAAGCAAGAGAGTTACATAATATTGTCTCTTAAAAAATCAACTTTATTGTGCTATAATTTACATTATAACATAGTGTACCTATTTGAGGGATTATTTTTAATGAGTTTTGACAAATCGGTGCACTCATGTACTTACCACAATAAACAACATATTCCACAACTGCAGGTGTGTTTAGGTGTGTAAGACAGATGACCATATTATTAAGTTTTTGTTGGGTCATTGAACACAACTGTTTGCAATCTGTTTGAACGTCCACTTTGTATGCTTTAATTTTGTAACTTGAACAACTATTTCTAAGATGACAATATGTAATCCATTAACTAGTGATTCTTACTTTTTTTTTGAAATTCTGTATTACTTGTACCCTTTTACTGTCTTTTTTCTTTAAATAAAATTTTAAAAAACCATATTGAACATTTTCATCACTGCAAAAGTTCCTTTGCCCCATCCCAGTATTAGTGTTCACTGCAATCCAGTTCTTGACTCTGTGTATCCCTCTAACCAGTTCAGGTTCATTTTTTCCCCATGTGGATATCTAGTTATTTTGGCCCCATCTGTGGAAAAGACTTCCTTCCTCCAAAGGCTTACTTAGCCTTCTTGTTAAAACAATCAGATAGGGTGGGCCTATTTTTAAAGTCTTTATTCTCTCTCACTGATCTATATGTCAACCCTTATGCCAATACTGTACTACTCACATTGTCTGCCTCTTTTATCTTTGTATCTTTAGTCTCTGACATTGTACCTGACACTCAGGGTGCTTGATAAATTTGTCTGCAGGATGAAGGGAGATCTGTCCAAGGGAGAAACCATTATTCCAGTTCTGTACACAATTAAAATGAAGAGGTACCTAGCGATGATAAACTGGCTTTAGACCATGATTTCCTCAGTAGGGAAAAAGAGTTTTCTCAGTGTGTAGATTTCCACAGGGTCCCGCTAGCCCCAGTAAGCCCAGCACAGTTCCCCACTGTGGTGAGGGCAGATAGCACATGTTGCAATGGGACCACAGATACTGCTGTGACTCCGGAAACAGCTGAATGTGTGGTTTCCTTTTCTTAGGACAGCTGCAGAGCAGCCATACATAAGAAATGAATTGTCAAGAGTACTGTCTCAAGTTTTAGACACATTCTTAGCCACTTTTATTTTTCTTTGGCGGTGGTACTGGGGATTAAACCCAAGACCCTTGAGGAGTAAATATATTAAAACTTTTTCACAGTTAAGGAGACTATAACAAATGGAAGAGCAAACCATTTTAAAATGCATTAAGTGAAAAATTATTTCAAAAAAAGGCTATTTGTTCTACTTTCAAGCACACTGTGGTCTCAAGAATAAAACAAGAGGATACTGCTAAGCTATGATATTTTCATATTAACAGGTGCTCTAGGCTAGAAACCCACTGACTATTCTGAAGCTGCAAGTAGCTTCTTAAAGTCCTTCTAATGTACAAAGACAGATTTGCACTTTAATGAGGGAATTTTAGCAAGCTGGTTCTTCTCCTCTCCCATTCCTGCTCTCACTGTCCCACCTTGAAGTTATTAAGGGGCAAAAAACAGTGTGTAATTTACAGGTTGCTTGTATCAATGAGTTTTTACACTGAGCTAAATGACACTAATAGACCAACAGTTTTAGTAAAAATTCACTACTATCACATACTATGCTCTTCAGGTCCTAATTTGTGATCTTACACCTGTCTTGAAGAAACATATTTTTAACCTCAAGGACAGTTCCTAGATGGCAGAGACTCTTTAAGAGGTCTGCCGGATTTCCTTAATGTGAGGTACCTGTAACAACCTTTATGTACTTGCTATAGGAAGCCACACTTCTGTGGACTTTAATGGCAATCGCTTAAGATTAAATTACAATGTGCTACCTAAAGAACCTAAGATAGGGTTCCGGATTCAGCTCAGCGGTATAGCACCTGCCCTGCAAGGGTAAGTCCTGAGTTCAATCCCTGGTACCAAAAACAACTAAGCACCTAAGATAGCTTGTGCCTTTGGGATGTTCGGGAAATATTGTACAAATGTGCTATTTTTTTTAACCTTTAAGACCAGGATTTTACAGTAGACAACATCATGGTAACTTGGGTTAATAAATCACACTCAAACATTGTTTAAGACGATTCAGCCATTAAAGAGTAAACCTGAAGTACTG